AGAACCTCTGTCCTCAAAAAATTGCATTATAAGAGTTTATAGTAAAACTTGTTCTCAAAGATTTACTTCGTTTTAGTGTATTAAGTGGGGGATATTCTTATGTCTCATAAGTTATAGTTATGTCTAAGTGCTCGTAAAAGATGCATCATTCCTGTTTTCTTCTTTAAAGTTAATTAAAACCTCAAAAAAAAAGAAATGCTTAAAAAAAGAAGTGAAATCAATTTAAAGATGCAATGACTTTGAACAGCCCTTGTCTCAACAGTTGAACAGTTTTTTTTTTCATATAATTTGTTGAGCTCTTTACTTAGTATAGAGTCAATCTTCTGTGTTTAAAGCTAATTGAAAATAGATCTTAGTAAAAAATAAGGAATATTTTAGGAATATTCTAGGAATAGGAGAGAAAGGAGCAAGAGGGGTGGGAAGGCAGGTACAGTGGAAAAAATCACTATGTTCCTATAATTCTACTTCTCAAATACATGAAGTTTGTATTCCTTAAACAAAAGGTTTCTTTGAGAAAAAAATAAAATAAAAACACAAACTTAAGTGTCCAGGAAATGACAGACTAAGCACTTACCACTTATTTCTAGCAACTATATACATATTTATCTGTACTCATATGGGAGAGATTCATCTTCTCCCCCCACTTAACAAAGGAAATAAAAGAACTTAAGAAACACACTATTTAGGGGCTGGCACTGTGGCATAGTGGGCTAAGCCTCCGCCTGAGGCACCAGCATCCGCACCAGTTCTAGTCCTGGTTGCTCCTCTTCAGATCCAGCTCTCTGCTATGGCCTGGTAAAGCAATAGAAGATGGCCCAAGTGCTTGGGCCTCTGCACCTGCATGGGAGACTCAGAACAAGCTCCTGGCTTCAGATCAGCCCAGCTCCAGCCTTTGTGGCCATCTGGGGAGTGAACCAGCGAATGAAAGACCTTTCTCTGTCTCTGCCTCTCTCTGTCTGTAACTCTCTAAAATAAATAAAATAAAATCTTCAAAAAAAACACATTACTTTATTTTTCCTTTAAATGTTCTTTCTCAGCTCTTTGAGTATTCCACTTTAATGCTGTTTGTCGGACACTTACAGCTCTTTACCTATTTCCCCCAGTAGACTCTGAGTATCTAGGGTAGATCTTTGATCTTTTTTATTTTTATATTCCCAGGGACCATTATAGTACCAAATACACATACCAAATATTTAGCCAAAATAAACAAACAGTAAATACTCAAAAAGTGTTCACCACTGAATAGGGAAAGGGCATAGGAAAAGAGTCTACATATGTTTTCTTTTATAATCTTCATCTCTCCCCATTCATATGCAGTAATATACTGGCTAATCAATTCCTTTCTTTCTCTTATAGTAAAGCCATACTTTATTTGAGATTAGAACAAACACTAGGGAAGATTTATTCAATATTCTATTAATTTTTCCTATTTCTTTTCTTTTCATCAAAGCACTAAAGAAAGCACAAGAAAATGCCTTTTATTAGTTTCAATTCAAATCTATAATTCCATCTAAAAATGTTAATAGCTTAAGCCAAAAGCTAAAACCTGAATAGCAGTGAGCCTGGCCCTCTGTAGGAATCTCATAGTCTACTAAACCACATTTAAAATAAATTTCAATCAAGTTTCCTTTGCACCTCTACATCTCTACATTGACTTAAAAGTACTCGTAAATTTAACCCTCTACTAAGTAAAGAATTCAAGAAATAATAACCAAAAAAAAGACCTCTGTTCCTCAGAAATAGAGACAAGGGCTGTAAACAATAATCAAACCTCGAAATGTCAGTTTCCCTCATATACATTAGACTTTTTGTATACTATTAGTTACTGCAGATCAGGGAAAACATAGGATATTTGTCTTTTGGGGACTGGTGTGTTTCAAATAAACTGAAAGTATGTCACTGGAAAACTTAAAAGGAAAAATAAGAAAAAGAGGAGGAGGGAGGGAGGGTAGGAAGTATCACTAATGCTCCTAAAACTGCATATATGAAATAGATGGAATGTGTTCACTTTACATAAAGAAAATTTTTTAATAAATTTATTTTTTTTAAAAAAAGAACAAATGGGAACTTAAGAACCAACAGGTACAGTTGGATGAATTAAAAGACTAGAGAGGGCAGAAAAAATTGTCATGAATTTGAAGATCAGTACAAAGATTTTGTTAAATTTATTTTTGTTCAATTTAAGTTAAATGTTTTAAAGTACCATTTAACATATCATAATAGGTGTGGCTATTTAGCCAGCAGTTAAGATGCCTACATTCCACATTGGAGTACCTATGTTCAACACTCAGGAGCTCCAGCCCTGACTCCACCTTCTTGCTAATATAGACCCTAGGAGGCTGCAGTAATGACTCAAGTAATTGCATTCCTGCCACCCATGTGCATGACCTGATTGAGGTTCTGTCTCCTTTTCAGCCCAGCCCAGTCTTATCCTTTGCAGGCATTTGGGGAGAAAACCAGCAAGGAGGAATTTGTTCTGTGTGCACATGTGTATCCTCTTTCTCTCTCCCCTGTTTCTGACTCTTAGATACACACATACATATCATTAGATATTAAATATGTAGGAACAATTTTAAATGTTACGGTTCCTTTTTTTTTCCATTATGCAAATTCAGTTGATCCGCCACCACAATGACGCAAATGGATGTTTAATTGTTCCAGTATCATTTATTGAAAGAACTATTCTTTTTTTTTAATTACTCAGGTATCTGTTGAAAATCAATTGATCAGATATATGTGGATCTACTTTGGGGCACTCTTCTAGTCCATTGATTATATATCTATCTTTATACCAATACTACGCAGTCTTAAGTACTATATCTCATACTGAGTATTGAAATAAAAATTATTTTAATATGGCTGTTTTATGTGCCTTGTGTTTCCTTAGAAACTTCATGATTAACTTACCAGCTTTTAGAAAAAAAACCTGCTGGGATAAGACTGAGTCTATCTATTTAAATAACATTTTAATAGTAATGATATTTCTGATTCAAAACATCGTACATATTTTTATACATCTTGCATATAATGAATCACAATCTTCAATTCAAAACATTCATAAAAATTAATTTCCAGGTTGATTTTAAAGGTAAAATAAGGCCTCTAGATGATGATGTAAGAGAATACCTTCTTGACTTTGTACTATGTTTTATTTATTTATTTGAAACTCAGAGTTACACAGAGAGAGGAGAGGGAGAGAAAGAGAGAGGCCCATTTTGGTCGCAACGGCCCGGAGCTGCACCTATCCAAAGCCAGGAGCCAGGAGCTTCTTCCAAGTCTCCCACACCCATGCAGGGACCCAAGGACTTGGGGCATCTTTTACCACTTTCCCTGCCTATAGCAGAGAGCTGGATCAGAAGTGGAACAGCCGGGAAGCTGGAACTGGCGCCCAGATGGGATGCCAGCACTGCAGGTGGCGGCTTTACCCGTTATGCCACAGTGCCAGCCCCTGTACTATATTTCTTAACACAACATAAAAGTCTATATTCAGATTTTAAATTTTTTTTAATTTTTTAAATCTGTACTTAGATTTAAAATTTTTAAATTTAAATGATAAACTAGAATTTATTAAAATTAAGAACTTCTATCAAGGATATAAAGGATTAAGATAGTTATAATCCCTACAACTAAAAAATATTCATATCTAGAACATGTAAGATGTTATCAAAGAAATACAAATTAGAACTACAATAGACTACAGCTACATACACTTGGATTAAAAACATTGACTCTTAGTTACTAATGCCAAGTGAGAAAAATATATAACTCATGTGCTACTAGCGAAAGTAACAACTAGAAAATCAATTTTGGAAAATGGGTAATATCTACTAAAGCTGAGCATATGTACAGCTTATGGAAGTCCATTCCTATATATAAACCCTAAAGGAATGTCTCCGTTAATACATCAAAGTACTACACAAATATGTCAATAGCACCAGTGCTCATCAAGACCTAAAATTGGAAACAATTCAAATGTCCATCAGTAATAGAAATAAACAGATTATGCTTCATTCATCATTGAAAATAAATGAACTACCATATGGTGAAGGAGCAAAGGAACACAGACCCAAAAGACAACATGCCATACCTTCTCACTTACTAAGAGACTATTGGAACTCTTTTATAGAAGAGTTTGGCAAAGCAGCAGGATATAAAATCAATGCATAAAAATCAACAGCCTTTGTATACACAGGCAATGCCAAGGCTGAGGAAGAATTTCTAAGATCAATCCCATTCACAATAGCTACAAAAACAATCAAATACCTTGGAATAAACTTAACCAAGGATATTAAAGATCTCTACGATGAAAATTACAAAATCATAAAGAAAGAAATAGAAGACGATACCAAAAAATGGAAAAATCTTCCATGCTCATGGATTGGAAGAATCAATATCATCAAAATGTCCATTCTTCCAAAAGCAACTTATAGATTCAATGTAATACCAATCAAAATACCGAAGACATTCTTCTCAGATCTGGAAAAAATGATGCTGAAATTCATATGGAGACACAGGAGACCTCGAATAGCTAAAGTAATCTTGTACAACAAAAACAAAGCTGGAGGCATCACAATACCAGATTTCAGGACATACTACAGGGGCAGTTATAATCAAAACAGCATGGTACTGGTACAGAAACAGATGGATAGGCCAATGGAACAGTATAGAAACACCAGAAATCTTCGGCCGTTGTGGCCATTTGGGGAGTGAACCAACAGAAGGAAGACCTTTCTCTCTATCTCTCCCTCTCACTGTCTGTAACTCTACCTCTCAAATAAATAAATACAATGTTTTTATTAAAAAAAAAGGAAGAGCTGGGAGTAAGACTGAGACTTGGAACTGTCTAATGAGCCACTCTGCCTCCCACAGCTAGCTCCTCACAGCTCTGCAAGACTAATAAACCTCAAGCCAACAAAAAACCCAAACACTCACAAATCTAATTTGGTAACTAACACCCTAAGGATATGCAGTTTGCATTTGACCAGAACTAGAGTACTCACTTTCATTTCGAACCTCCTCCAGTGCAGCATTAAGCTCTTCCTTTAAATTGGTAGCCTCCTGGGCAATCTTCTCTCCCTTGTCTAATAAATTCCAAGTTGCTTCCTCCACAGAAGCTAGAAGGACTCTAGCTCTTTTTGAACGTCCTTTTTTCCTGTTGGAAGGATTCTGAGGACAGTTTACAAGTGTGGTAACCTAAAATTGGAAAAATGCAAATCACTCATTAGACAAACGGAGGAGAAAACCATCCTGAGATATCTTAGACCAGTAGAAATGGAAGTTTTTCATAACAATATGATTCATTCCTAGTACTCTTAGTATATCCCAAAAGTCAAGGCATGACACTCAGAGTAGCATCACTGGCCATCACAAAGTTCTTTGTGGAAGGCGGGAAGGAAAGGAGAGCCATAGATTTTAAATCTTACCAAGTTTTACACTTAGAAGTGGGAATTCAAAAGATGACCACAGACGCCTACATCAGCTAAGATGCCATCCATGTTGTGAAGTCATCCTGCAACTGGTTCCCAGGTAACATGATATTTTAGTGAACCACAATTTTCACTAAAGAAACAAAAACATTTACTACACATTACTTAAGCATGTGTTCAGGCTGGCACTGTGGCATAGTGGGTAAAGCCGCTGCCTGCAATGTTGGCATCCCATAAAGGCAGTGGTTCGAGTCCTGGCAGCTCCACTTCTGATCCAGTTCCCTGCTAATGTGCCTGGGAAAGCAGCTGCAGATGGCCCAAGTAAATGAACTCCTGCACCCATGTAGGAGACCCAGATGAAGCTCCTGGTTGGCATGGCCCGGCCCTGGCCATTGTGGCCATTTGGGGGTGAACTACAGGTGAAAGACCCCTCTCTCTCTATCTCTCCCTCCCTTTGTAACTCTGCCTTTCAAATAAATAAATCTTTTAAGATGTGAGTTTTCTTTTAAGGAAAATAAATATTTGTTTATTTATTTGAAAGTCAGAGATACAGAGAGATATCTTTCAACCACTGGGTCACTCTTCAGATGGCCACAACACCACGGCTTCTTCTGGGCCTTCCACGTGGGTTGCAGGTGCCAAGTACTTGGGTCATCTTCCACTGCTTTCACAGGCACATTAACAGGTATCTGGATCAGAAATGGAATAGCCAAGACACAAACCAATGCCCATATGGGATGCCAGCATCACAGACAGTGGCTTTACCTTCAACGCCATGCCATGCACAAAAGGAGTGATCTTTCCATCTCAGGGCCATTGTAGAAAGAGTGACTAATGACCCTGTTGTTTGCCTCTCCCTGCATATATGAAACATCCCATGAGTGTGGGAATTATAATGTACTTCATTAATCAATAATCAAGTCTGTTAGCTATTACCAGGTGTTTTGATTTTCAGTGAGGTACTCTGATTTTCAATATGATTAATAACCACACATAAATCTAAAATTTTATACCTGATTCAATCATATATTCATCCTGTAAGAAAAGTGTAAAATCTATAACCAAACTTGGGCATGTGAACAGCCAACCTAAGTAACTGCTTGGTTGTTTCTAGGTGTAAATCCTCAATTTGATAGATAAATGAATTTCAACTTTGATTTTCGAGCAGACTGATTTTTCAGTTAACAGAAGAATGCTTTAGGAGACTGTATTGTGTATGTATGTTTTCAATTACAGGAACATCATGTGAAAAAAATCATGCAGAATCTCGACAAAGGGGCCAGCATTTGGTGCAGAGGGTTAAGCCATCACTTGTGATACTGGCATCCATAGGAGTGCCAGTTCAAGTCCTGGCTGCTCCACTTCCCATCTACATCACTTCTAATAGGCCTGGGAAAGCAGTTACAGATGGCCCAAGTGATTGGGCCCCTTAACACACATGGGCGACCTGGATGAAGCTCCTGGCTCTTGGTTGCAGCCTGGCCCAACCCCAGCCATTACAGCCATTCGGGTAGCAAACCAGCAGATGGAAGACCTCTGCCTCTGTCTCTCCCTCTCTCTGTAACTCTGCAAAGAACCTTGACAAAGCAGTCAAAAATGAGAGTAGAAAATTATATATTTTGAAAGCATCAAATTATAGAATGAAATTTTATCAATTTGTAGCCAATGTTCTATATTAAGAGGGAGACAAAAGTTATGATTAAGTAAATTAATATTTACTCTATTTGGACTGAAACAAGAAAGTATTAATATTGGAGGGAGTGGCACTCTGAAACATACAAAACAATGGTTCCCTCTGGGGTAGAATCCCCAAATACTCACTATGACCCTGTTTCTTGCCTTTTGTACCTTCTCTGATCTCCTATACTCTCTCATACTTCATTCCACCACTCAAACACACAGGTCTCTCTCAAAGTGGTCTATCAAAAGACCTTTTCCTGGCCACCACCATCTCTGCTGTCTCCCACTCTGTCCCTTCACCCCACTCTGTCCCTTCACCCCACTCTGCCTTTTCTTCAAAACACTCATGGAGCCTGAAATTTCTGTTCTGTTTATATGTTTATTGTATGCTGCCAAAATAAAAATGTATACTCCATGAAAGTATGAAATGAATTTTATTCTCCAGTATCCAGAACAAGACATAAAGTAGGTATTCAAGAAATATTTATCATATTGGGGCCAATGCTGTGGCATAGCAGGTAAAGCTGCTACCTGCAGTACCCACATCCCATGTGGGCACAGGTTTGAGTCCCAGCTGCTCCACATCTAATCCAGCTCTCTGCAATGGCCTTGGAAAGCAGTGGAAGATGTCCCAAGTCCTTGAGTCCCTGCACCCACGTGGGAGACTCAGAAGAAGCTCTTGGCTCCTGACTTTCGATGGGCCCAGTTCAGGCCATTGTGGCCATCTGGGGAGTGAACCAGCAGATGGAAGACCCCTCTCTCTCTCTGTCTTTGCCTCTCTATTACTCTCTCTTTCAAATAAAATTAAATAAATCTTTTAAAAAAGTATTTATTATATACATGGATTGATTAAAGGGAGAGTTGAGAAGAACCTTATATTTTCAACTACCTTAATGTTAGTAATTAGCATATTACCTTTTGCAAATTTATTTATAATAACATATTCCTAGATACAAACAATTACAAGTATATGAGGTGACAGATGTGTTAATTAGCTTATAATGTAAAGATGTATCATAACATCATGGTGTACACCATAAACACACACGATGTTTATAAATATTTATGTATTTATTTATTTATTTGAAAGGCAGAGTGACAGAGAAGGAAAGAGAAAAGAGAGATCTTTCATATACTGGTTCACTCCCCAAATGCCTGCAAAAGGCCAAAACCAGGAGACTGGCACTCCATCTGGGTCTCCCACAGGAGTAATAGGGACCTAAGCATTTTAGTCATCATCTGTTGCCTCTGCCTCTCTGTCACTCTGCCTTTCAAATAAACAAATGATCTTTAAAAATATATATATATAAGTAGGAGCCAGCGCTGTGGTGAAGCGGGTTAAGGCCCATGGTCTGCAGCGCTGGCATCCCATGTGGGCACCGGTTCAAGTCCTGGCTGCTCCACTTCCAATCCAGCTCTCTGCTATGGCCTGGGAAAGCAGCAGAGAATGGTCTAAGTCCTTGGGCCCCTGTACCTGCTCGGGAGACCCTCAAGAAGCTCCTGGCTCCTGGCTTCAAATGGTCATAGTTGCGGCCACTGCCACCATCTGGGGAGTCAATTAGCGGATGGAAGACCGACCTCTCTTCCTCTCCCCCTCCTTCCCTCTCTCTCTCTCTGCCTCTGCCTCTCTGTAACTCTGCCTTTCAAATATATAAATAAATCTTTAAATATATATATATGTAAATCTTTAAAAATGAAGGAAAGACCGGCTCCTGCATGTCATCACATAGTCAAAACTTATGATAATCATGCAGCACATCTTTGACAACAGACAAAACATAACCCTTCCTGCTCTGCAGCAGATAGAGATTTTGCTCATTGGTTGTTCATGGAGCTTTAGATATTATGTGCACGGATATCAGTACCCAGAATGTAGCTAGGAATTGAAAAAGAATTCATAAGTTACAAAGGTAATATATGGATGAAAATCATTTGTCTGCCCTTCTCCTTCACTTATCCAACAGACTTTTTTATTCTAAAATTTGCTTTATTCCAGTGTTCATGACTCAGTGAAATATCTTATGGAAAGCTTCTATTTTCCTCTCTTAGATAATAAGAACAGGAGCCAGTGCTGTGGTGTAGTAGGCTAAGCCACTCCCTGTGGCACCACCATCCCATATGAGCACCGGTTTGTGTCCCAGCTGCTCCTCTTCCTATCCAACTCTCTGCTATGGCCTGGGAAAGCAACAGAAGATGGCCCAAAAGCTTGGGCCCCTGCACCTGCATGCCACTGCAGCCGCTTGGGGAGTGAACCAGTGGATGGAAGACCTTTCTCTCTGTCTCTCCCTCTGTCTGTCTGTAACTCTGCCTCTCAAATAAATAAATAAAATATTTTTAAAAAAGAAAATAAGAGCAATCATATTATCCTATAAAACTACATGAAGGTTAAATAAGGTAAAGTCTTCCATAAAATTCATAAAGTGACTCAAATACTGTTTGGCATTTAATGTGCATTTTCTAGTGTGTTCCCTACATGGATACAAAAAAAAATTGGCTATGGAAACCCTTGTTAAAAGATGTTCTCTCTGGACTTAACCTTACCTTGCTCTTGAGACTCCTCTCCCCTCAGGGCTAATACTACATGTGAAAAAGACACTTATAAATGCCCATTCTATGTGCTTCACAAGCCACTAAATAGGGTCGTGTGTCTTCATCATGGATTACATAAAAATAATAATAAGCCTGACTTAGTACACAGGCTTTCACAGACTCCAAAAGGCAAACAAGATATTGTCTGTCTAACTTATTTAGAGTTAAAAGATATCTGTCCAGATTAAGACAAATTATAACAACTACTTTGTTTAAAACCTTTGTTTAAAGTGAAGAATAAGTATCATTGTCTGAAATATTCCTTCAGAATGTATTTTAAGTACCACGATTCATGACGCTTCCCACTGCACATTCCTCCTCTATTGTTCGGATCCTCCATGCACCAAATGTTTCCCATAGAATAGCCTGGGCTTTGAAATTAAAATGAGCATTCCAGAAATGCTTTGTTCCTTACAATAAATGCCAGAGAAGTTAAAAAAAATGAGAAAAGAACATTGTATAAGAACATTGTGATTCCATCAAAAAAATGTAATTGTC